TAGTCTGTTGAAGTTGGAAACTTTTCCCTTAAAATTTTAGTTTGACTATGAGCCAAAAGGAAGCTATGCTAATTTAACAACTCCAGTCTACATGAGCACACATAGAGTGTATACACACACTATTATGTATAAAATAGATTTTTTTTTACCAACCAAGATTTTATAATTATTCTATGTTGAGATTATATCTCCTATAATCTTTATTGTGAAAAGGAAATTTAGCACAAGGATCTTTAGCAAACATATACCTCCATTACTTTACAGGTGGTCTAGCCTTAATAAAAACCCTACATTTAACAGTTTTTGTACTAAGAATATTTGAAAAAATAGTCTCTGAATATTACATAATTGAAATAAAAATTTTAATTAATATATATTTATTTAGAATTTGTTTTGGGATGAAATCTTAATCAAAATATATGTTTATAATCCCTGGAATTGGCATTACAGATGGTTGTGAGCTGCCATATGGGACTGGGAATTGAACCCGAGTCCCCTACAAGAGCATTTGGTGCTCTTAACCACTGAGCCATCTCCCCAGTCCCATGTTAGCACACTTTAAGTGATTCACTCAATAGGTTTTTAAAAATATTTACTTGGTATTGGGTTTTTTTAATATTTTATTTATTATTTTTCATTTTATGTGTATGAGTGTATTGCCTGCATGTAGGTAAGTGGACCCGTGTCGTGAAATGCCTGCAAGGACAAAAGAGGCTGTTGGATCCCCTGGAACTGGAGTTACGGACAGTTGTTAGCTGCCATGTGGGTGCTGGGATTCGAACCCGGGTCTTCTGCAAGAGCAACCAGCGTTCTTAACTGCTGAGCCATCTCTATTTGTTTTAATTGGTTTAAGATGTTCAGAGTACCAAAGTTTATAAGGCAGTATACATTTATCAGGCCTTTTATTACCAAAATATTCACATTTATAAATCTGTACATTTGCATTTTAATAAATATAATGTTAGCACATAATAAAAAAAGAGAAGGAGGAGAAGGAACTGACTGTAGTAGTGCATGCCTTTAATCCCAGCACTCTGGAGGCAGAGGCAGACAGGTCTCTGTGAGATTGAGGTCAACCTGGTGGTCTATATAGTGAGTTCCAAGCTGGCTGTAGCTACAAGGTCTCAAAAAGACAAAAAAAAAAAAAAAAAAAAAAAAAAAAAAAAAAAAA